AGTGAGGTTCAAGACACCCTTCTAGACGAGTGGCGGGTTCTATATATACTGGTGACCGAGTAGCCTTCGTGGACCCTCGAGAATAAATATACAGCTGAGTCTAGTCCCATACGAGTGCTTGCGGTCTCCCTCATCCGAATCTTCTTTTTGTTTTATCGAAGCTTTGGGACAGGGCACTCGTGTTACTTTTCCTTCCTTTCGGGATTTCCCCAGGAGTTTTGAGGATTTTCTTTTATTTGAGTCTTTTTCGTTGATTTTCTCAAGTTTTCCGCTTTTCCTCGGATTTCCTGGATGATGTTTTCTTCCGGACTTTGCTTTTTGAGATGCATTTAGACTTGCTATACATAAGGAACATCGGATCTCACGGGCGTACATGTTTGCTTTACATTTTACAACACTTAGTTTTCCTGTTTTTACCTTCTACCGTACTGTAAAGCATGTTATAATTTTTCTGCTTCTACCTGTTGTTATTCTTCCTGTATAACATGTTGTAATTTTCCTGTTTTCACCTGCTACCGTACTGTAAAGCATGTTACACTTGTCCTGTTTCTACTTGCTACTGTTTTTCATGTATAGCGTGTTATACTGCTCCTATTTTTGTCTACTACATTGTTTGTTCCTGCATTGCACACTTTACATTATGTAGCTTCAAGCATGTTTTCTTTTTACATAGGATGTTTAGAGGACTACAACTATAGGGCCGTTTGATTTGAGACTATAACTGGACACCCTAGAAAACTTAAACTCGTCATGTCGGGGAGCTTGGAGCTAGCGCAGTGGGCAGCACGACCATCTTCAACAGCAGAACATGTCTTCCCTAGCAAAACTATTCCTTTTTCTAGAAATTAAACAACAATCCATAGGATTTTGAGGTTGTTTGCCTAGCGCAACATAAATTCTCCACCTTTTCTTTGGACATTCGTATAACTCTGCTGTACGATTTAAACCCTAACTCGTTCTAGGTTCCGAGGTTGTTGTTCGATACGACGTAAACCCTTATATCTTCCAGGCGATTTGCGTGACCATGTCACGCAAATATAAACCCTAATTAAATAAAATTGGCAGGATGAAACACTTTAATAATTTCTTCTCAAAACTGGAGCCAAATCATAGGATAGACTGGGAAGTCACTGAGGTTCTTCTCAGGATCTGTGACCCCCCTAGTTTTTCTTCATTTGGATTCCTCAACATTGTTACAGATTTGAGCATTTCCCCTTTCACACCTCTTTGTCCGATTTCGTTGTAAAGTCTTATCATTTTGACTTCTTTGAAAATATTATTCCCTGATTTTTATCGAGAGTTTTCTTAGGTGACTTCGGTCATTTAAGATGTAATTAACTATAGGGGCTTGCCCTTATAGGAAGCTTTTCCGAACCCAGCTTAAAATAAATCCTATTTAATTATTTGTATTAAATAGGGGAACTTGTCGGCAAATAAAACGATTTCG